ATATTTTAATTTCGGCTATGTGCACTGTTAGTTTTGATTTTGTCGACTGCACAGTATAGTAGGGTCAGTTGGGCACCATCTGTGAGAAAACAGCACCATATTATAATTCACACCGCCAGAAATTGGTAAACGGCATTCTGGACTGCTTGTCATTTACACCAGAAGCATCAATACAATAATTTCAGAGTGTTTGGAAGTCAATCTGAGGACAGTGCAGAGGATGCAGAAAGAGTTGGATGATTCAGGATCATTCTGATAAGTAAAGAACTCCGGAATTTGTTGATGAAGGCCACAAACTCAACACGCAGGCTTACATCGAATGTCTTAATGCCCTGTGTTGAGGAGTGGCTGCTGGAAGACCCGATGTCTGGCAAGAGATTCTGAAGTCGTCTGAAAACCATGGTTGAAGCCAATGGGGGTTTTATTAAGTAAATTTACTCTTTAGTATTTCAAGATATTTTTTATTTCTTTGTAATTTTGGTAAATATATCTGTTAAAATGAAATGTCAGTTTTATTTTAATTTTTGCGCAATTTAGACGACAATTTATCCATCGACACTTTATATACATTCACACACACACACACGCACATACACACGCACACAAACACACACACACATACACACACATATATATATATATATATATATATATATATATATATATTATAATGTTATCATATAGACAAAATCATTTTACTCACTACAAAGATGCAACTTGGTTTCAGTGCATTTCAACTACACTGAGAATCGAAAATAGTTAATTATAATGACTAAATAATTATCACTCTACTATCGGTATCGATCCCTCTTTTGAATTAATGCTGTGAACATTGGAATTTTTTATATATTGCTTTCGTTCTCATCACATCGGATATATATATATATATATATATATATATATATATATATATATATAAAAAACTTAAACACTAATATTCCATGCTCATAATTTATTCCATTGGAATCGTAAATACGATCCAATTCATCAGACCTTCAAATTAAAAAAAAAAAAAATCTGGAAATAAAAATAGAATTTAGAGAGAGTGTAAGTATGAGAGTGTGGGACGAATGTTAGAGCTAAAGAGAGGGGTAACAGACGAGAGAAGGTGGGAGATTTAAACTTAACAGAGAGAAGTTTTAGAGAGGTGCGTTGAAGACAGTTTAAGTGAGAGAAATATGAATGTTGTCGGATGTCTAATACATTAAATATGTAACCGTAAAGGATACATTTCGTGGTGACATACACGCACAATAGACGATCTAATCTTAAAGATCAGAAGAAGAGGGAGGGAGAGGAAAAGAAAAGAAAAAGGGGTGGGGGAGAGAGATGGGACGGGGGAAACTAAAACTGAAGGGCATTTACTGAAAGGGCCTCTGTGTAATTAAGAAATATATTTTATATATTTTGCATATGTATGTGTATATTTACCACTAATATTAGCTATATATATATATATATATATATATGCATGTTTCTTAAGGGGCAGTTGAACTCATAGATAATTTAAGACAGCTAACCTCATCCTCAAAAATAACAACACACCAGCTAAGTCAAAATTACAAAGAACGAACATTATCTATGAGTTCAAATGCCCCTAAAGGAACTGTGCTCCTGATCAAACCGGACTCATAAATAATTACATCGGTTACACAACTACATGCTTATCCAGACGCCTTACATTACACCTATCTGATCACAGCTCCATTAGAATCCACACACACAAATTTACCCGACTCCATTAGAAACATACTAGTAGAAAACACAAATATATTAACTGCATCCACCTGAAAAAAAAGACTAAAAATAATGGAAGCTTTAATAATAAAAAAGAAAAAGCCAACTTAACAATATTAACTACAAACAAAGCCACAATGTGCTAACCATATTCGGAAATTAAAAGCATCCCTACCACACACTAAGACATCCACAGAACGCACACACTTAATTAAGCTGAAAAATCGAATCATCCTTGATAATGGCTAAAGGTATAGCCGAAAGCGCTCGGAAATATAAAACATTGCGACAGTTCTTACACACTCTTTGTCCAGAAAAGAAAATTCTTGTTCGAACACAAGAAAAATTAAATAAAAATCTTTAACGTAGTACCTTGTCTGTCGTTTTTAATGAAACATTCATAAAGAAAGATTGCTGCCTAAATATACAACTATATATATATATATATATATATATATATATATATATATATATATATATATATATATATATATATATTAGATTCTATGAATATTTAGGTGTCAAAATTACAGGTCATTTTTTCCGTTGTTTACTGATGGAAAGGCATTTTTAGGGAGGCAGGTTTTGTCATAAAGTACTCGATGTCAAAAATAATAATAGAGCGTTAACAGAATTAATATGGAGAAACTTTCACTTAACTGAATGGTGTTATTTCAGTCTGTCCGTCTTCAAAGTTTCATGTGCGCATTGTAGTAATGTCTTCATTCTTAGAGATGTTAAAGAGATAAGACAATATATATATATATATATATATATATATATATATATATATATATATATATATATATATATAGTAAATTGTATAGTCTTTAGATGCCAAAATTGCTGGTTCTTTTTTCGTATATATATATATATATATCATTCCCCTCATATTTATCTCTATCTGTCCCAGTCTATTCAAACAATCTGTCTCTGTCTCGTCTATTTCATTATCTATCTATCTCTATATATATAACACACGCTACACACACAGACATATATATATATATATATATATATATATATATATATATATATATATATATATCACCTTTCATATTTTATCTGTCTCTATGTCCAAATCTATTCATATATCTGTTTCTCTGTATCACCTTTTCATATCTGTCAATATTCATCTATCTATCTATCTATCAATTAAAACATATTTGAATATATATATATATATATATATATATATATATATATATATATATATATATATATATATGCTACAGGCATGATAAGCGAAACCGATTATTTGATGCAGTTTGTTTCTTTGTCCACACGACCTACAAACGCTCTATCGATGCACTTTTCTCATAAATTTAGTAGTTTTTTTCTTCGTCTATTGCATTCAATTGATATCTCTCTTGCTTTTTATATATCGATCTATTTATCTATCTCATACTGTTATACTGTTAGTATCTCATTTTCGTCATATGCATGTATGTCTCTACCTCAGGCTGTTAATATCTATCTATCTATCCATCTGTCTATCTTTCTATCCATCTACAGTCTATTAATATCTATTTCTCTATACATTTATCTATCTATCTCTTTATCTATCTCAGTTTATTTATATCTATCTAGAGTATATTAATATCTGTTTATCTCTCAGTTTATCCATCTAAATGTCTATCAATATCTACATATCTTAGTCTCATTCATATAAATCTATATATCTATCTCAGTCTGATTCATATCTATCAATCTCTCTATTTCTATCTATCTATCTATCTATCTATCTATCTATCTATCTATCTATCTATCTATCTATCTCAGTCTATTCTTCTATCTATCTATCTATCTATCTATCTATCTATCTATCTATCTAAGTCTATTCATATCTATCTATCTATCTCAGTCTATTCTTATCTGTCTATATCTATCTATCTATCTATCTATCTATCTATCTATCTATCTATCTGTCTGTCTGTGTGTATGTGTGTCTGTCCGCCTGTATATCACAATATAACGCCTCTTCTTATAGAATGTATCAGTTCTCACCTTAATACTTTTACAATCTATTTTCTCTCCAGTATTTAAATTCGCTAGCTTTCTTTTCAATTACTCAATGCTTGCCTTGCTTTATATCACTCACGCTTTATCAGAAATCTATGATTTTACCCCTTACTGGTATTTAATATACGAGATAAATATTAAATTATTCAATTCAAAAGACAGTTAATAGCAATAAGACTAATAATATGTGATTTATTTAACAATCATTTTGTTTTTTTTCCTGTATATTTTTTTTTAATCTTGCCAGTGGACACTTACATCTGATCATCATCCGTCTATTTTTCTCCAGTTTTACTTCCCACACACCCTCCAGTTTATCCATGGTTATATTACATTGCATTTTTTTAACTATATACCCGCATAGTTATATGTTGTGACCGAGTTTACTGACTGCATAGATAAATTTAAAACCCCGATATTTGTAAGAAAATTTTGTGTGTGAGACAGGGGTGAATATTACAAATGAGACGTATTTTCGCGAAAGAAAAAGGTTTATAAAAAAAGAATCCATTCATTATACTGTCTTTTTCTTTCCAGATATGTGACACACCATTTGTCAACTGTCCGACGTACCACAACTAGCTAAATCGCGCATGCGCATACGCACATACATGCACACACATTCACACACACACGCACGCGCATTAAAAGTTTTATGCATATAAAACATAAAAGAAAACGGCAGAAAATATTTATCGAAGAAAGATTTTATTTTATTTTTTTATATATATATAATGTTCAAAAGAAAAGACACAAAAGCAAATTTAATGCCTGGGATAATTAGTAATAATATATATGTCACGTGACAGGGATATCACATACCGGGGTTTAGGTGGAAGCAGACTGATATGTGACAAACGGACGATAAGAAAAAAAAAAAAAAGAAAAGAAAAAGAAACAAGCGCGAACAAAAGAGGAAGAAATATATCCTTTTATAGGAAGCATAAAAGTCATCAATACTGAAATGAATTGGAATATGAAATCAAAAATGGCGGAAAAAAATCTATTGAAATTTTTAAAAAATTTAAAAATACGCAAACAGATAAAGAGTGATAAAAAATAAAGCAAATGAATATCTGCTAGAAAGAAAGAAAGAAAGAAAGAAAGAAAGAAAGAAAGAAAGAAGGTATGAAAGAAAGAAAGAAAATTTAGTAATTAAGAATATTAAACTAGAAATTAAATAAATTAAGAAAAAATAGGTATAAGTGTAATTCAAAAATATATATAAAAAGATAATGGCATCAAGAAATATGGAAAGATGGAAGGAAGGAGGGGAAAGAGAGAAAAAGAAGGAAGGAAGGAAGAAACGAATAAAGGAAGGAAGGAAAAGAGAAAATGAACAAGGATATAATGAATGTAATAAAATTTTGGATGGATGGCATATATATAGAATGAAAGAAAAAAAGAACGAAAAACAAAAAGAAAGAAAAAATGAAGAAAATGAATGAAAAGCATGAAGAATTAATTACGAATATTAAATAACAAAGAAATGAATTAACTGGCAAAATAAGAAAAAGGAGAATAAATAAAAAAAGAAAAACAAATTGAACCGTGAATGACAACAGGACAAAAAAAGAAAGAAAGACAGCAATGAAGTGAACAATAAAATTTGGAAAAGAAGGTAGAAAGAAAGAAAGAAAGAAAGAAAGAAAGAAAATCAAAGATGAAATTAGAGTCACAGAAAAAAATCATATAAAATAATAAGTAAAAAACGGAAATGAACGAGAGAAATGAAGAAAAAAGAAAGGTCGAAAGAAAATTAAGAAAAAGTAAAGAAAACAGAGTAAAATTAAGAGAAGGAGAAAAGAAGTAAATAAAGTGGAAAAAGAAGAAAACGAGGAAGAAAGATAAAAGGAAGATTACAGGATGAAAAGAAAAAAAAAACGAAAAAGTAAGAAAAATAGAAAAAGAAAAAAATATACGAAAAGAATGAATAACTTTGAATAACAATTGCAAGAATTTTGATAAAATAAACAAAAGCTGGAACAAATTCCCCAAAATATCTTTTGGAACAAAAATCTTTAAAAAACACATATAAGAAATGCTAAGTAAAGGGTGGGCTGTGCCGAAGGATAAAAGAAAAGACGTAAGGAAAGAGCGAATTATAGACAAATAAATCATTGCTGTTCCTGATCGTATGCCGAACACGGGGTCGTTGTACCTCACCATCCATCAATGTCCACGTTACATTGGAACGCTCCGAAAGTTAGAGGCTACTCTTGGTTTGGCGCTGATACAAACCGTACATTTAATTCGTGATAAAGCCCAAGTAGAAAAGAATACACTGGACACTTTTTTCTTTATTTTCAAGACTGACACATTTAAAGGAATTATACGCGACATTAATAAAGTGCGAAATGTGTTCGCGTTTTACCTAGTAATACGCTAACACTGCAGACATACACACGTTGATATATCTTGAGATTTGATGGAGATATGCGGAAAATATATCTCTGCATTTATATTTCGAAAGAAAAAAAAACCGCGAAAATATTAAATTCAGTGAAATCTTTTGATTATTATAAATTGTGAAAAAAAATCAATTTCTGTTGGCGGAAAATATACAGGATGTTTCACAATCTTTGAAACAAAATGATCGGTCACAAATCATGGACCACAAATGATAGCGTAATAAAAATTACATTTATTGAAAGGTAAAAGGATAACATTTTAAGATCTGCAACCATTTAGCCATGAACCAAACATTTCAAGAGGATCCCTAGAGTACATGCTCCAGCTACTCGCCGTTCAATTGAAAGCACTGTTGAATACAAAGCCTTTAATAACGCGTGCACATTCCTCTAAAGTGATCACTGGAGGTGAGTCAGGCGAGTGAGGTGCTCATTCCACTTTGCGGCTGATGAGATGTTCCCCAAACTTTTCCCGGGACCATGCCATAGTAACATTAGCAGAGTGAGGAGGAGCACCATCCTGCTGGATCTTCTGTACCTCCTCGTCAACGTCCTCACTCTCCTCGATCTATCCCCATCTGAGAGGCCGCTGCTTTGTTTCAACAATTGTGAAACTCCTTATACTTGGAAACATAAGAATCACGAAAAGGCAGAATGTTATTTTTTTAATCATTTCACTCCAATCAATGTGATAATGCAACAAAGGTATGTTAAAAGAGACGACGGATTCTTTACGCTATTTTCCAACCAATACAATAGAGGGTTATTAAATGGTTGTTTTATAGACGTAAGAATTGAAGTTTACGATGATATGTAGGGTTGGACTTGAAGAGTTTGAGATTGTAAACATCTCTAGAGACTTTTCCCCAAAGCAGCGGTCCTTGACAGCTATCTCTCCGAATGAAATACCTTTCCTACGTCTACACAGCGTGGCGGGTCTAAGTTGAAAAGGTCAGAACTGGAGGTACTAGGAAATATTACTCAACTGAACGTTTTCAGTGAAATAGCTATAGAATAACGTTAACCTTGCGACATTTCGTCTGTCTGGTAACGGGTTGTAGGGTGGAAAATTATTCATCACTCACAAGGCCGCATAACAGAATTTCAACTCTGTCGATAAAGAGGGGATTGAGCAGCTCCATCATAGATAGGGCAGCAATATATCAATTTTGGTCTGATCGGAGTCTAATAATACAAACGCTCGAAATCACATTAGAATAACGAAAGAAGCTTCGCAGAAACTGAGCAAAATAGAAATGATTCCACAGAAACAAATAAAAAGATTGCTGAACTATAATGTCGTATCTATCCCCCGGCATGAAAGGGAACGTAGGAAAATTTCCATATAGATGGAGAAGAGACTTAAAGCGAAAGATATTGATTTCTACAGAGTAATGTAGAGAATGCCTTAGACAGAACATATGAACAATCAAGAAGTTCTAAATACAATGGGAGTTAAAAAGATATATTTCAAATCAGGAAAAAGACAGTTTACATTACTTGGGCATTAAGAAGAAAGGTCCTATGGAAAAGTTATAATTAATAGGGTCAAATGAAGTTAAACAAGATTAAATGGAAAGAAAGATTAACTTGCTTATTAAGCCTGTGCCTCCGAATAGCAGAACGGAGACAAGAAATTATAGTAAAGATTCCAACGTTACTTAGATCTATAAGGGGCAAGAAACTGTGGAGATTCATAGTTTCCACGCTGTGAATGGACACGGAATATAAATAATGAGTAAATTTGACAGACGAATAATACAAATAGTACTTGGTGGTATTATGACAGTCTCGTCCATGCTTGAAACTGGCATTCACGCTTGCATTTCTCCATAACTGTTTTTTTTACTATAATAGTAGTTTAGTTATACTGACATTCAAAACTGATATTTAAAAATGACACGATATATTTCAGAATAAAAATATTTTTACCCATGGATAAGTAACAAAGATGGCAATGCTATCAAGTCTGTTCAAGCAGGACCTAATAATCAAATAGAGGCACCTAAGATGCGAAAAAGAAAATACAATTAGTCTTTTCTCCAAATCGGCTTTACTTTTAATAATAGCGATGATATGGAACAACCAGTTGGTTTAATTTACAATAACGTTTTGTCGGTGGAGAATATGAAACCTTCAAAATTAAAAAGGAATCTTGAATCCAAACATTCCTCATACGTCAATAAGCCAAAGATGTATTCTGAAAGACTGTCAAGATCTTCAAATAGAGAATGTATAATATACAATGTATAGTACTCATTCCCGCTGTCATATTCTTCTAAGTGCCGTTTGAAGACGTGGGCGAACATGATTGTCTAAATGTCCCTATCCTTTGTGGCTCTTAGTAAATGTTGTCTTTATGCCATCTCACCTGCCCTTTGTTCTGATTTTAGTATTATTATATAAGAGAGCTATCAGTCCTTTCTTTAATCGAACCACACAAAAGTGTGAATACTGGTTGAATTGAAATTAAAAGGGGCAGCGAAGCGAAACGCTGGGGTAACGAAAGTTAAATTCAAACCCTTCAAATATTTGAAGTGTTTATTATTTACTAATTCTACAGCCGTCAGGCTGTGGAATCAGTAAATAATTTTGTTATGGATTCAGAGTAGATGACATCACTGCTTCCAATTCTAGATCATAGTTTTTGTTTCTGAAAAGATTATCTTGACACTTGGTAAAGTATGTTGATTTTTTTTGTTCAAGATCTTTCATTTCCAATCTATGAATACCTAATTCATTGGTATAACCCCAATTCAACATTAATATATTTTGGACTAGAAAGGGAAAATCAATAAGGCTGTTTTCTATGAGTAGATTATTTTAGGATGTTGTATGAAATAATTAAACCTCAGTACGTATGAATGTGCACTGAAATAGTGGTTGTTGTTTTCCTTAAATATTTGTATATATTTCTGAGATGAGGTATTATATACACTATTTACATTATTCGGGTTATTGTCTTAATCTTTGTCACCATATTTATCACAAAGTTTCGGCTGTTGTACGCTCCGCCCTTCTTCAGCTGGTTGAATGCCGGTTATGATCTTCAAATATAGAATGTATACTATACACTGTATAGTATACATTCTCGCTGCAATATTCTTCTTCTAAATGGGCGAACATGATTGTCCAAATGTTCCTCTCCTTTGTGGCTCTTAGTAAATGTTGTCTTTATTCTATCTCACCTGCCCTTTGTTCTGATTTTAGTATTATTATATAAGAGAGCTATCAGTCATTTCTTTAACCGAACCACACAAAAGTGTGAATACTCGTTGAATTGAAATTAAATGGGACCGCGAAGCGAAATGCTATGGTAACGAAAATTAAATTAAAACATTTCAAATATAGAACTTATACTATACACCATATAGTATACATTATAGTACAGCTTTTCTTAAACTATGGGTCGTGAAATGCTGGGCTGGCAAAATATAAATTCAAACACTTGAATTTCAGTTTCTATGTTATTTCCCAAAGGTACAATATTTATCGCTGCGGTAATAAAACGCACGTACAAGCACCGTTGCATCGAGTGCGGTGACAACGGATGTATTTTCAGTCTAGTTGGTTAATACTGGGGGTCGCGAAAATAATTCGTCATGAAAAATGGGTTCACGAATGAAAAAAGTCTAAAAGGCGCGGCTCTAGAAATTTATTGTGAACAAACTTTTCTGGCATCGGGATCTGCAATTGATTCATTATAATTATTCAACTTCATGCCAGTTTGGTTTGGTTTGATTTGTTTTGTTTTACGACATATCAACCTCAATAGATTATTTAATTCTGACAAAATTTTTATTTCTGGTAATATTTTTTTCTTCAAAAATCTATTGCCGGTAATATTTTTTTTCTAAGATGTATAGCAGGTAATATTTATTTTCAAAAATATAGAGTTGGTAATATCTTTTGTTTTCAAAAATGTTTTGCTGCTAATAATGTATTGCTGAAAATAATTTTTTACAAAGTATTTCTGGTATTAAAACCTATTTTTACACTTTCATAGTGTTTTGACCCCAGTTTGAGGGTTAACTACTTACCCATAGCTGGGACACTAACAGGTGCTACCAACCCAGTTCAGGGTGAACCTGGGAACACTAACAATTAAGAGCTGGTTCTATGCCCCTCAAAACCTCATGATCAGAAGCCTTGCTATCGGATGTAGTTCATCGTCTTACTCAGGACGTCGATGTAGTTTATCGTCTTAACCAGGACGCCGATGTAGTTTATCCTCAAACCCAAGACACCGATGTAGTTTATCCTCATACCCAGGACGCTTCATGCCAGTGGAAAATGTGAGACCGACATAGAGATTAACATTAGGTTCTTTATGATGATTCATAGAGAGCAAAGCCAACATTAAACGATGACATGAGTTCTCCGACTTGTGAAAAGAGATAGTAACAAAACCTCGTTTGCAAATAGTTATATTATAGTAGAACGCCTTGAAATCAACCTAACAATAGAATCATGTTTACAACATATTATCGTTTGTTTTAGCAAAGCAATGAGAAACTGAACTTGTTTAAATCGTCAACATTCGTCAGTGGGTAACCGACAAATTGTGAAGTATGATTATGCATAGAACCATGTAATATTGATTCACTGCCGTATAAAACATCTTCAGATTTTTACCATCTCAAAATGAAAAAAAAAAGGAAACAGAAGATACATCTATGGTCCCGCACTTCATCCTGAACCCAAACTTAT